AAGACTTGTTTTAATTTTCTTAAAAGTTCTTAGTTTGCCCCGATTACCACCTTGTTGAATTTGTTCTTTCCAGTAGTTAATATAAAAGTTTTTTAATTCATGCTTTAAATAATGGCAAAAGTTTTTCAATTGAACGAAATCGCTGTTTATATTTTCATCACATAGTTCTAACAAATGTGTTGTTAAAGCTATTGGTTGTAAGTTCATGGCTGTACAAACATTTCTTGCTTCACCAACGAGTGTGCCATTAAATGACTGATCGTTAATACGCAACCAAAATTTAACCATCATGCATGGTGTATACTTGGAGGATTAAAGGCGTTCTGCCTAACTCCGCATAGACAGCTAGATTCGTCGATTTCGAATGAACTCCCATGATTCGTTTGCAGAATTTTAAATGCAACTTTTCAGTAGCATTCCGTATTTTGAACATTTTATTCCCCAAATTTCACAATTGTATAATATAGTTCTATGCCCTTCACTAGGCTTTCATGAGAAAAAATGCTTATTATACAAATTATAAGAATCAAAGTGCAAACTAAAAAAAAATTAGATTTTATTCATTATGAAATACCAGTGCACAATGTCTGTTCAATTATGCTGTTTGAACTGCTTTTAAGCAGTATTAAAACTATTAAAATAGTTCTTTCTTGTTATATCCTGATTGATTATACAAATTTAATTTATATCAACGTTAATATTAAAAAATAATTACATTTACTGAACCAGTTTAATTATCAGTATTACAGTACATTGCATTTACAGTATGCAGTTAATATAATTATTTCTTATTTTATCTTGATTAATTATCCAAATTTAGAAATATTTAATATAAATCATTTAATCTAAAACTAGGTTTTGATTATGTTTCATTTAAAGTTCATTCATGATTCCAGGATGTAGGTTAATGATTGTATCTTGAGTGACCAGCCAAATTGCTGTAACAAATAAAAAATAATAATTATATTTATCCAGGATACCCACATCACATGTGTTTTTCAGTGACGTCCTGCAGCAGAACTACAATTATTTACAATATTAATTGTCAATATTTAAACTCTATAAAACTACAAATATATACCTGCACGGTAGAACAATGATAAAATGAAGAATTAATTTACAATTCATAAATTATTGATTTAGTCAGTAAGTGTGAAACATGCCTCCAATGATTATGATTTGTCCGTCTTGATTGGCAAACCAAATTATAATACGAAAGTCCATATTGTCCTGTCAATCTATATTTAAATAGTAATAGTTAATGGTATTAGGGTCAATAAACAAATAACTGTAAGAAATTTGATCAAGCAGGCTTCTCAATAAAAATTGGCATATATATACAAGTGAATGAAAATTATTCACAGGCACCTTTTGAACATATAGCCAACTTAAAAACTTGTTCATATGACTTTGTTTAAAATCTAGTTCTACATTCTGGGGGTGGTGGTGGTGGTGGGGGGGGGGAGTGGTATTATTGTGAGATGGTAAATCTAGTAATCTACCTACACTCACCCCAATGGCCAACCATGAAGAAACCTCCCAAATTCCCTTGATAAGCTTGACTTGCTTCTGACAATTGAATGTTCTAACACTAAATTTCTGACTTAACTAAATTTCAGGTTTAGTGGAAATCTGACTAGCTGTGGCACTGAAAGAGTTTCCAGGACTAGTTAAGTACCTTTCTATTGCACTAGGTGAGAAAGCTCGACTTTGTTAGTGTATTATTATTACCCCACTACTTCAGTGAACAATAGAAAGCTAAAATGACTGCTTCTGACATACCGTACAATATTCTCTAAGTTACAGTAGGAGTGATTTAGTTACAATAATCATACATGGTACAATTACAACTACACAGATATTATACATTATTATATACACAAGGTCTGGATGGGTATGAGGTATTCTGTAATCTGATTGCATGGTTCTCTACTAGCAGAATATTAGCTCATATCCTGCTAGTAGGAAAAAACAAAATAGCGGCTCAAACTGAATTTCCGACATTGCGAACGAGAAAACGGTATGTTTTTATAGCCTTTAAAGGATTAAAAATACAATGAAAAAACTCCCACAAAGTGTTTACAAGTTAGCAAATGAATTTTTAAAATTTAAAATGGTTAAAAACAAATATTTTTGAAAAAATAATCGCCCAAAAGAGCAAAGATAAAAACATAAACAAAATGGAAAAATATTGAAAATATCCGAAAAGCAAAGTCTGTGAATTCTGACCTTGTGTATATAATAAAACAGTTATTCCACTCGCTCTCGTCGAATATGAGCGATAGCCGATTCGGCGCTACGCGCCTCATCAGCTATCAGCTCATATTCGACACGAGTTCGTAGAATAACTGTTAAATATTTAACAAATATAAAACATTTTCCGTGTTGATATACAGTTATATCAACACGAGTGGAATTGGGAAAACGAGAAAATTTTATGGAGGCGGAGTGTTTTCATACAATTTCGAGTTTTCCCAACTTCCACGAGTGTTGATATAACTATATATCAATACGGAAAAAATGTTTTATATTTTTTTTATAATATAGCAATGTCGCAAGCCCAAAGGATAAGAAAAATTTCCGT